TAGGGTCCGGCCCGCGCGTCCGCGCGTGGTCCAAAAAGTTGGCACACAAGTTGGCGTGTGGCGGCCGGTAGGGAAGGGTATCTCTAAATCCTTCTTCCTGCAACGCCGTCGTCGGGTAGGCTCCATACCCTACTTCGCGCGGTCCCCGGCCTGCTAGTCGAAACTTCGACAGAGTGAAAACTTCATCTTACATCACGGGATGGCGGCGTTTTGCTCTCTGATTGAACCACTGTACCCTAAAATTCTTTGGCTAGTGTTTAGAATGTGGCGGTGATTTAATTTTTATATTTTTAGTGTGTGTGCGTAGCCTCAATGCATTGCATAATGTTAATACTAGATTATCTTACAAGCTTAAAGCTTACTCTCTTAGCAGCGATTTTTCGGTTCCTCACAGTGAGCTATACCGTTCATCAGCAGCAGCAGACGTCGAGATTTCGCTCGGCCTGCGCAGGCGGTTATGCTGCCGCGGGGAGTGGAGGAGGGGAGGTAGAAATTCCTTGAACCGGCAAACTCACAATTATCGAGTTAAACCGTTGAAATGATTAGCAGGCATGGCCGGGCTAAGATGCCGCCTCCCTGTGAATAATGAATGCCCGGCAAGGTTCAAAACTCGAGCCCCCCTGCCTCCACTCCCCTCCCCCTCCCCACCCCCTCCCCCTCCTTCCCATCCATTATTTGCAGGGAGCCTCCCGATATTTCCACTTCAAAGCAAAGGCCAGGGCTCTAATATCCATGCTGTGTCCGCAGGCTCACGGACCGGTCTCTCTCTCTCCCCCCCTCTCCTTTAACCACCGCCGGACAAGCTGGACGCGCGTGGTAGGGCGCGTGCGGAAAAGAGGGGGGCGGGGGGGGGGGGGGGGGGGGGGGGGGGTTGCGAGGAGTGAGAGAGAGGGGGTTGAGATTAGTTACTTGAGGGTGCGGTGGTGCGACGTTTTCGGCCAGGAGGTCGGTGAATAGATGATAGAGGCAGGATCGGCCGCCTCTCTCTCCTCTCCGCTCCTCTCAATATCTCCATCAAGAGCGTCCGTGTGCCGTCCCGCGCCCGCCTTTCGTCTTTATTCTTATCCGATTCGAACGTCTTTTGCTTTTATCGCCGCGGATTGTCGTACAACTCATTTAGCGGCGAGGAAAAGGGTGGCGGCTCCATAATGCGGTTATCAAAAGGGACTCAGTGGCTCTCTCCGTCTCTGCCGCACTAGTCGTAATGACGCCGGAGAGGGAGAGAGAGAGAGAGAGAGAGAGAGAGAAAGAGAGAGAGAGAG